TATAAACCAGTATAACCAGTATAAAAGCTCTAACCAGCAGCATCTTGACTGGTAGCAGGTAAATCAGGATCATCCTCTTGTTCTTCTGACTCGATCGATGACAGTGATGGAAGGCGAAGGACAGAAACTCTTCAGCTGCACAAACAAAACCAGGTTTAACTTAACTAGTTTAGACTGAAGGTTTAACTCAGGTTCAGGTCAGGCTTAGCTCATGTTTAGCAGGTTAGGTCAGGTTTAGGTCAAGTTTAGCCTAGGTTTAGCAGGGTTGGGTCAAGTGTAGGTCAGGTTTAGGTCAGGTTTAGGTCAGGTTTAGGTCAGGTTTAGGTCAAGTTTAGCCTAGGTTTAGCAGGGTTGGGTCAAGTGTAGGTCAGGTTTAGGTCAGGTTTTTCAGGTTTTTCAGGTTTTTCAGGTTTCCCTGCTGCTAATAATCTGTACATCGAGCAAACTTCACTATTTACATGAAATCCGATTAAACATTCGTTCAGTGTGAATAAACAGCACTATTCGTTAATGAACTGAACCTGGCTTGAAGTCGCTGTCGAACATGGCCTTGCGGCCCACGTAGTACTTGTAGGTGACCTTCTGAGCAGGACTGTAGTCGTTCTTCAGGTTGGAGCTGTCGATGGCTCTGATCAGAGGCTTACACAGGTGCAGCTTATTGATCTGCAGCACAAACACACCGATAATCGATCAATACGCTCCAGTCAAGCATCAATAAGTGACACAGAGCAGAGTCAGACCTTGAAGTAAATCTTGAAGAGCTGGTTGCTCAGAAACATCATCCCCCACTTCTTAGAGTCCTCGATTCCTGCTCGACTGCAGAGACAACGTCACAGAGAGTTACAGCGTCTGATGTCATTATTAGCATTATTAGCATTATTAGCATTATTAGCGCCACGGGCTGAGCACGAGGCCACTATCGTTATCCTGGTGCGTCTCTTCCTATTATTATTTCAGGGTTTCCGTACAAAAGTTTGCCGGCCTACTCCTCCCACAGATTTGAGAGCACCAACACAAATTATCCATCAAAACGTGCGGCTCGATCGGGAATCGTGTGCTTACATACAGATTTACGACAAACGCATTTTTCGCGACACAATTCGCCAAAAGTCGCACAAACCTCCCATTGAAAATGAATGGGACGGACGAAAAAAACACAC